AAAAAAAAAAAAAAAAATAATCGGTAAAGCAGCAATAAGAGAGAAAATTACTGTTTAGTTTTTTAGACTATCAGACTGTATTCAACGTTTAAAGTGCACTAATTTTGTCAACTTCTTTTCGTCGGCCACAAAAATGATTCATTTTTTACCTATATTTTTTTATCGACCTGTCAACAATCTGAAAACCAACAGCATAATATTTGTAGCTGAAAGCTCATTCTTTAGTTGTTTTGTTACTGTTAACTTTTGCTCTTTTAATTTTTGCTCTTTCTTTTCTTTTTTTTTTTTTTATACCACATACTGCTATAGTTTTCACTGCAATTAGTAAACCTTCGCTGTCTTCAGATATATATTTCCCAATAATTTTTTCTTTAGTTTATTGCCAAAAAGAAAAGCCGAAGCAAAACGAAACAAAATAAAACAGGGGAGGAGGGGGGGGAAAAAAAGCAATTAATGAAGAATATATTGTTGATAAGCTGATAAGCATATTGATATATTGCTGCCTAAACTTGTTGTCAACTGGTTTTATTTGTTATTTCACATTAACTTTCATGACGTTTTATTTATTTATTTATTTATTTTCTCCTCTTCTAATTTGATTTGTTGTTATTTCAACTCTTTGTTCATATAGTAAAAGCAATGTATTGAACAAAAAAAAAGAGCAAACAAAAAAAAAATTTCTTTTTTTTTTTGTTTTTAAACTAAATAAAGCGTTCTTTATCTTCTTTGTACTTCAAAAAAAAAAAAACTCAACAGATCAGCTTTTATGCGTTTATAAACAGTCGAAAAAACAAGAAATATGAGAAGTCTTAAAAAAAAAAAAAAGAAAAAAATTGAGCAAATTGAAAGTTGTTGGCATCACTGATCACATCATCGCTAACTAAACTCTTGAACTTTTCAAAACTAGCAAACTAATCAACTAAGCTATTTTTTTTTTTCTACACTGCTCAACACTTCAACTGATAGTGGTTTATATAAGATAAAGCACAAAAAAAAAAAATTTCAACGGTCAATCTTCTCATCGTTGAAAACTTTTTATGATAACTGAACTGTTAGCAAATCTGCTAATATTAAATATCGTTTGCTTTGTGACTATTTTGATTCATAATTGCCAACAACAACAAAAAAAAAAGAAGCAATTTTTTTGTTGATTAACCTAAGCACAATACCGTTAGTTAGTTCAGTGTTGGTTAGTCAATATATAAAAATCATTCAGCTATGATATGCTATAAATTTTTTGTAAAAAAACTGATTTTTTTTGCAGACTAAAATTGATCAAAAATAGTCATTTTTTCAAGTATATATTTGTGTGTTTTTGTGGTGTACAATATGCCGTTATAATTTTGCATATTTTGATACATTAATAGTTTGTGAGTTGTTCAATTATAATGTAATGTTCAACGTAATGTTGTCATTTGGTGCTGTGTTCTATTCCGAAGACTATTTAAGAAGACTAATTTATTTTAAAAAAAAATCAATTACATACTCTACAAAGTTGTAACATTTTTTGTTCTTAATAAGAACAATCTTTTTAATATTATACTTCTATATTTATAGGTTAACTATTGATATCTGATTTATTACAAAACAATATTAGACTGTTTTCTATCAATATCATCATCTTTTGTATCGCTTATAGAATGTTCACAAAAAAAAATTTGCTTACAAAAAAAATAATGTTCTTTTTCATCCGTATTACCCAAATGCTATTTGTGGCTATTCTATTCATATTACAACTCTTTTTTTTGCTCTTATTACAGTTACCTCTCTGTACAATGAGGCTGACAACTATGGTTGTCCTTTGGAAATCAATATTCTGAAAGAATGATATTGGGGTTTTTTTTTTTCTTCTTTTTGTAAGAAAAAATCTGTTGCAATAAACCAATAAAAGAATTGTGGTTAAATAACAGTATTATTGCATTATACAACAATTGCGTTAAAATTAATGTAAAAATAAATTGAATATTGATATTAAATATAATAACATTATTACCAAATTGTTAGCAGCAAAAACAGCTGCGTTTTTAAGAACTAAAAAAAAAGGTTTTTTTTTTTTTACAATTAAATTAGTTTATGTAAACTGTTTGAGGTTCTGACTGACTTACAGCTACCATCAACTGTTTGATTAGTCCAAATGTCTACGTATCTTTTTTTTTTTTCCTTATTTTTAACTCTTTCATCAGTCTTTCATTGTCGAAAAAATACACGACTTTTCCCTGTTGGACATATATTCCTGTTCGTTTCTACTTAACTCTTTGATAACTCGGTTATACGTTCAACCAACAATCGACGTTGCTAAGTAGTTTTGTAATTTTAGCCTACGCAAACCTTACAGACGTTACAGTTCCAGAGAATTGGTCAACATAGTTGTTGCTTGCCAAATTTTGCGTACCTTCAACTCTGCTATATTGTAAACACTTTCGATATCTGCAGAACATTTGCTTAGACTGCCCTAAAAGTAT